TTCATGAATGCTCTAGTGTTTACTAGATATGTGTTAGTCTTGTATATATATATATAAGACGGTCACAACGTGACGGAACAGAGTATGTGTAATTGAGCTAAGTAGTGTTGAGTCGAGCACGTGAGACGTACGTTGAGAATTATAGCGTTTCTTATAGCGTGACTGTTGAAATTAAGTGTATCGCAAAGTTATATTCCGAAAGAATAAACCAGTTTTATTTAAGAAAGGACTTGTGTCGCTAAAGTTTCGTCGGAACGAATATATTTTATCTAAAAACTGTTTGTATAGTACTTAATTAATGCTTTAAATACAGTGAGTAAAATAAAATCAATACTCGCATAGAAATATATATATTATTTTTATTTATGGACTCTAAAATCTAGTGTTAGCCAAAGCATATACTAAAGAAAGATTTTTTTTACTTATTTTGTGAAATGAAAAAAAAACTTAAATACTATAACAAATTTTTTTAAATAAAGTTTTACATTTCATTTTGTTACTAGTCTTAGTGTTTATTTTTAAAAACTTTAGTGAATTCAATCTCCATACCTTCGAACCTCGTTCATTAAAAATAATTTCGACATCCAGTATCGGCCCAAATTGCTGAAGAAGAAGAAAAAAGGGTGATTCAAAAGGTTTCACAAAGTTCATATTTTAAATCATGGGCTATTCTGTATAAATTACTGGTATCAGATTACAATTTTCTGATTTTGCAACTTATGTTACACTTTAGACTTGGAATGAAAAAGATCCTTTGGAAAAGAAAAATTAACCGTAGATTGTAATCAATGAGGTTCTGCTAATCTAAAACCTAGTTACCTAGTTAGGCTCTTATCAAAAATACATATACATAAATATCTGAATAAGCAGAAAAATGCAATGACAGAATCATAATAGATTTAAAATTACAGTTAAGTAAAATGTTAAAGGTAGTATATGACAATGATGACAAAATTCTTTGGTAGGTAGTAATAATAAATAAACTGGATCTTGAACATAATTTAAAAAGAAAATATATCTCAATTGTTTTATGAAAGTTACTTTTCATAAGAATACAATTCAAAATATATCAACAAGAATAAATTATTCATGATTTCACATATATATTATTTATGGTTAAAGATGTAAGTACATGGTCAGTATATGTATGTCAGTATGTAAGAAATAAGAACAGATCAGGTCACTAAGTAAATTAGTAAATGTATATATGATAGGATCTTTTATTACAGGAGTCAGAAGCTTTCAGCTCTGATAGTGTATGATGTTACTAGCTTTCTCATTCTCTAAAGTAAATAGAGATGGTTAAGTAACTAAATATCTATTTCACTTAAATTCTAACAGTTTTATCTGGTGATGAAACTGGAGATAATTCTTGTATGGATGTTGTAATTTGTAAAACTAAATGAAATTATTGAATTTTGAACATACAGTAACATGAAATATTTCTCAATTAGTCTTATGAATATTTGCTTTTCATGAGAATTCAATTCAAAGCAGATCAACGAAAAATTAGTCATAATATAGCGCGTGTATTCATTTATATCATTTATGGTTATTATTCTGTAAAAATCATTACTACTACATATCTATGTTGTTATTCTAATAGCTAACTTTGCATAAATATGGAAATAATTTCTTATCTGATATTTCTGTCAAAATAGTAAAAACCCACCAACAGGGTATGCCCTAAGTTTAACAAAAATATTCTTAAAGTATTGTTACGACAGCGGAAGTAAAAACCCACCAACAGGGTATGCCCTAAGTTTAACAAAAATATTCTTAAAGTATTGTTACGACAGCGGAAGTTACGTGACGTTCGTAACACGTAATGAGTATCTAGAAGATTCGCGAAAAACGCTAGTGTGTTACGACAGCGGAAGTCAAGTGACGCTGGTAGCGCGTGATGAGTGTCTAGACAATTCTCGAAGAGGCTACGCAGGCGGTATTATCGTATATAAGTGCGCTAGACAAAGGAGAGAGAGAGTGGGGAACCAAGGACAGCAGTTACGGTCGGTGGGAACCAAGGACAGCAGACACAGAGATCGGAACTATAGTTGCTGACAGGCGGAGATAGAGACGGACAATTAAGTCAAGCACGGTAGAAAAGTGAGTGAATTGTTGTAAATTATAGCGTGTGTTTAAGTTAAAGTAACTGTGAAAATTAAGTGTGTTGTATTGAGGAAGAATGAACTAGTTTTATTTAAGAAAGGACTTGTATCGCAGGAAAATTAACAAACAAACATACAGAGACGTAACAGTATTTTAAGATTGCAAAATGTTCTTGGTTTAGGAATACACTGTAATTACCAAAACATATACAGAAAAAGAAAATAGATAAAGATAAAGACAACTTCTATTACACATCTCTAGTGAACTTACCCCGATGATAGTAATAACTGTGAACTAATTACACATCTCTAATGAACTTACCCCGATGATAGTAATAACTGTGAACTAATTACACATCTCTAGTGAACTTACCCCGATGATAGTAATAACTGTGAACTAATTACACATCTCTAATGAACTTACCCCGATGATAGTAATAACTGTGAACTAATTACACATCTCTAATGAACTTACCCCGATGATAGTAATAACTGTGAACTAATTACACATCGACTAATAGAACTTACCCGATGATAGTAATAACTGTGAACTAATACACATACTACTAATGAACTTACCCCGTAACTAACTGGTACGTAG